CCTCTTCTTCCTCCTCCATTTGTACTGGTACTATTTGCTCCCCCTCCTCCTCCTCCTCCTCCGCTTGTACTGGTACCATTTACTTCTCCTCCTTCTCCTTTTCCTCCTCCTCCTTCAGCTGTACCAGTACCTTCCACATTGGCTTCTTCTCCTTCTCCTCCTCCACCATTACTTCCTTTCCCTTTAATGACAGCAGCGGCCTTACAACCACTTCCTCCTCCAGCACTTCCAAAAGAAATTCCGCCAAAATTTGGTGCAATGTTGATTCTAGGAGGACCAACAGACAAGTTAAAATTTCCAATTCCAACTTTTGTAGAAACAGATATTCCAGGACGCATGTGTGTACCAGCACTAATGTTACCAGCTTGCACTCCTGGTTTCAATTCAGCATTAGCACTTACTCCACTACCTCCATGTCCACTTAATTGAACATTAGCGAATTCTCCTTCAAATCCCCCTGTGCTAACACTTGTTTTAGCTGAAGCTGTAGCATCTATTCCAGTCACTCTAACATTTGCTGCTTTTATTGTTGAGCCTTCAACACTTGCCGTAGCTTTTGCACTTGCTCCTCCTTTTATTCCTTCAACAGTTGCTGTACCCATAATCACCTTTTTACCTGTTATATTCATGTCTGCACTTGTTTCAATCTTTTTTTCTACACCAACAACTTTTGCTGAACCAAATTGTCCATCAAACCCTTCAACTTCAACTTTAGCTCCAGCACGTGCTGTAGCATTAGCTCCGGAGACATCTGCCTTGCCTGCATTGATACTAGCACCTTTTACTTCTGCTGAGCTAGAGGCATTTGCTGTTGCTTTAGCTCCAGAAATGGTAGCATTTCCAAAACTAGCAGCTACACCAGTTGCTTTTGCTTCAGCAGATGCACTGGCATCGGCTTGTCCTCCAGTTGCTTTTACTTTAGCTATTTCAGCAGCCACGCCAACACCTTCAGCTTTCCCTGATGCACCAACATTACCTTCAGCACCACTGACATCAGCTTTAAGAGCCGACACATCTCCACCTTTAACTGATGCTTTAACATCTACTCCAACACTTCCCTTTCCTCCTGTTACTTTTAAATCCGCTGCAGTTGCACTTAGGCCCTTCCCTTCTACATTGACATTTATCTTGCCTTCTCCTTTCACACCAGCTGCTGTCACTGTTGCAGTTTTTGTTTCAACCCCTTTAGCATCAGCACTGACGCTCAATCCCTTCCCTTCCATTAAGACTCCTTTTGCATCAGCTTTACCAATTTGCGAATCATGAGCTTTTGCTTCTTTTTTAGTAAAAATTTTCATAAATGATGCAGCAATAGCTTTAAAGCTAAAGGAACTTTCCTTTTCATCAACGGCTGCCTTTTGATCAGCATCTCCTTCTTCTTCTTTATCATCACGATCCTCATCACTCTTTGAACTCCCAGTCTCTTCATCTGTTTCACTCTCTAATGGCATCAAATCGTTTTGACTCACATTATCGCATTCTTCTTCCGAATCAGTAGTGCTGGCAGCTTTCAGTTTAGCAGTCTCCTTCTCTTCTTCTTCTTTGCACTTTGCAATCATTTCTT